GGGGTCACCTAAGACCATTGGAAAACACATATATAATTACATATTGTTTTTGTGATTAATCACTATGCTTTAATTATGTTCAATTTGTAACAATGAAAATACATCCTGCATATCAGATATTTACATTACTATTCATAACAGTAGCAAAATTACAGTTATGAAGTAGCAACGAAAATAATTTTATGGCCCTAACCGGTTTGGCTCAGTGGCTAGAGCGTCAGCTTGCGGACTCAAGGGTCCCAGGTTCGATTCCGGTCAAGGGCATGTACCTTGGTTGCGGGCCACATCCCAGTAGGGGGTGTGCAGGAGGCCAGCTGATCGATGTTTCTCTCTCATCATTGTTTCTAATTCTCTATCCCTCTCCCTTCCTCTCTGTAAAAAATCAATAAAATATATTTTTAAAATATCTTTCCTAATAATAGACAAACATGTAAATTGACCATCCCCTCTTCCTACGCTCACCAGCCAATCAGGAGAGTAGGCAAATTAACCCAACAAAGATGGCAGTTAATTTGCATACATAGGCTCGAACCCGCGGAGCAAAGACTGAAGGCTCCAGCCAGAGCCGGGAAGATGGAAGGCTCCGGCCGGAGCCGTGAAGATGGAAGGCTCTGGCCGGAGCAAAGGCCTGGGTCCCGGGTGCTGGAGGAAAACCGGTGCCGGCAGCCAGGGGAAGGGAAGGCCTATTGCACGAATCTCTTCGTGCAACGGGCCTCTAGTATATATATATTTTTTTAAATGTCCAATGAGCCCCCTCCATAAAGTTCCCTCACAAAGACATTCTTTTGAAGCCCTGGCTGGGTGGCTGTTGGTTAGTGTCATCCCAATACATCAAGGTTGTGGGTTCGATCCCGGTCAGGACACATACAAGAAGCAACCAGTGGATGCATAAATAAGCGAAACAACAAATCGATGTTTCTCTCTGTCTTTCTCTCCCCACCCGCTCCCCTACTCCTCTCTTGCTAAAATCAACACATTTAAAAAGACATTCTTCTGGCCTTACCTGTAGATACTGTGTTTTCAGGGATCGGTAATCCTTGGGGATCAAACCTGAGGATAAGGGAAGACAAGAAAGGTTTATGAGCCAGCTAAGGTGTCCTAAAACATACAACCAACCAACCAACCAACCAACCCTCTTCCCCCAAGAAAACCTGAACCAGGAGGAATGATTCAGTAAACGATGATAACCTTGCACCCTCCACAGATGATTCTAAACTGACTCTTCGATGTAAGCTTGCTCATTGCAAGATAAAGCCTGGATCGGAGAGGCGAGGAAGCGCCCCGAGCCACGGGGGCTGGGAAGGGACACTGAAAGGAATGCTAACTGTGGCGGGAATGAGGTGGGAGGCAGCAGGAGGAGGAGGCGGGACTTCCGGGCATCTCTTCCTGGCTATGGGCCAGGACTAGGGGCCCCTCCTACAGATGCTGAGGAGCAGGAAGGGGTCACGTGGTTCCAAGGCCAGTCTTCGATGTGGTTCTCCACTGAGATAAGGAGAAATGGGCTTCCACACGCAATAAAGGGGCCCCAGAATCAGCAAAGCCCTTCTCTGGGTAGAGAGCTCCCTTCAAGAATATTCACCAGTTGGAAGCCTTCAACAGGAAAAACAAGCTGCCATTAAAGGTTGCAGAGTCGGGCTTTGGGAAATGTTTATGAAATTGGTTGGCTGTCCCTTCTACCTGGATTGCATCTTTTTAATTTTTTTTCTCTTTTTTAAAAAAATATATTTTATTGATTTTTTTACAGAGAGGAAGAGAGAGGGATAGAGAGTTAGAAACATTGATGAGAGAGAAACATCAATCAGCTGCCTTTTGCACACCTCTCGCTGGGGATGTGCCCGCAACCAAGGTACATGCCCTTGGCCGGAATCGAACCTGGGACCTTTCAGTCTGCAGGCCGACGCTCTATCCACTGAGCCAAACTGGTTAGGCTGGATTGCATCTTTTTTAAAAATGTAATACTAGACGCCTGGTGCACGAAATTCGTGCATGGGTAGGGTCCCTAGGCCTGGCCGGTGATCAGGGTCAATCAGGTTCGCCGCCTCCCGGCCTCCCTGCCTCTTCCTTCCCTTGCTCCCTCAGTGCCCTGCTGCCACTGCTGGTCGCCTGCCATGTTCCGTGCTGCCCCCTGGTGGTCAGCACACGTCATAGGGAGTGATCGAACTCCCAGTTTCTTGCTCCGACTCCCGAGAGGACAATTTGCATATTAACCTTTTATTATATAGGATATTTTTATTGATTTCAAAAAAGGGAGAGGGAGGGAGGGATAGAAACATCAATGATGAGAAAGAATCATCGATCAGCTGCCTCCCGCACGCCCCACACTGGGGATCAAGTCCTCAACCGGGTATGTGCCCTGACCGGGAATGGAACCGTGACCTCCCGGTTCATAGGTGGATACTCAACCCCTGAGCCACACTCACCAGCTGGACTGCACCTTTGTTATGAAACCTTGTTGAAAGAAGGAGGCCTGCTGCAGCAAAGAAAAGTGCCACTCTGCTCTACGCCTTTGTGATCCTAAGATATGACAGCCCTTGTGTGGGGGAGGAGGCGGAGTCTGCATGTAGTCCTGCTTGGTGTGGAGACACTAATTTACCCTATGACTTGGGGATGTTCACTCAAAAGAAAAACTGCTTTAATTCTACAGAGGAAAGAATCCACAAAATTACAGGAAACCTTAGCTGGTTTAGCTCAAGGCTAGAGCATCGGCCTGCGGACTCAAGAGTCCCGGGTTCGATTCTGGTCTAGGACACATTCCCGGGTTGCAGCTTGATCCCCAGTAGGGGGTGTCCAGGAGGCAGCTGATCAATGATTCTATCTCATCATTGATGTTTCTATCTCTCTCTCCCTTTCCCTTTCCTCTCTGAAATCAATAAAAAATATATTTAAAAAATTAATCCTTCAAAATTACAGGGAAGGGTTCTGTCCGCTAGGACATTTACTGCTGTCGCTCATGATGATTTCTTCTATCCTATGGTAAAGTTTTGACCAGGCATCTCGGTGCTGGGGGCTCACCATTCTCGGTGATGGACAAGAGGCACATGAGGCGAAGGCTTTCTATAGGCGACACCTGCACAGGAAGGGAGAGCCAAGGAGGTTCAAGTTTCATAGCACACGTTCTCCCCCTCCCTTCCTCCTGGAGGCCGGCCCCACGCAAGCACCGCCCTGCCCGCCGGCCGGCAGCTGCCCACCTGCCGGTCGATGTGCTCCTCGATGTAGCTGGTGCTGTCCCGGATGCTGAAGCCCTCCAGCAGCGCTGCGAGCAACCAGAGGACAGCCTGTTACCGGGAGCCGCGCGGCGGCTGCCGTCTAGGCTAACGGGCGTCTGTCTCCCCATCTCCTTCTCCATCCGGGATAAGGGGCCCCCAGGCGTCTAACAGGAACCCGAGTTCCACGCAGCCAGCGTGGGCTGGGAAGAGCCAGAGCGCAGCTCCCCAGGGTGGGCGGGGCTGGGAGCCGGGCGGCCAGCAGTCACCATGCTCGGTCTTGATCAGCTCCTGGAAGTCCTGCTTGGTCTTCTTCTTCATGATGGACTCACAGGCCCCGATGTCTGCAGAGAGGACAAAGCCACCTGACACGTTCCTGGTTCCAGAAGGATATCCCTCTATTGTCCGGGAGAACAACGACCTCAAGGCAGAAGCACTTCCCTTCATTTTAGACCAGGGGTGGGGAACCGTTTTTCTGCCAAGGGCCATTTGGATATTTATTTTTATTTATTTATTTTAAAAAATATTTTTATTGATTTCAGAGAGGGAGAGAGAGAGGGAGAAATAGAAACATCCTGCACGCCCCCTACTGGGGAACGAGCCCGCAACCTGGGCATGTGCCCTTGACCAGAATTGAACCCGGGACCCTTCAGTCCACAGGCCAATGCTCTATCCACTGAGCCAAACCAGCCAGGGCTCATCTGGATATTTATAACATCATTTGCAGGCCATACAAAATTATCAACTTAAAAATTAGCTTGCTCTAGCCCTAGCTGGTTTGGCTCAGTGGATAGTGTCGGCCTGTGGACTGAAGGGGTCACAGGGTTCAATTTTGGTCAAGGGCACATGCCTGGGTTGCAGGCTTGATCCCCAGTAGGGGGGGGTGCAGGGAGCAGGCTGATCAATGATCTCTCTCA